GAGCCCTTTGCGCATGAGTCAAGGACGATAACCGTAAGTCATAGGCGAGCTGCCTCCATGACCAGCTGCGCGCGCTTCATTACTCCACCATTTAAAAACTGCGTAGCCACGATGCAACACAAAAGAAAACACAGCATATATAAATAACGGTAAAGTAAAGAGTCATTTCGGACAAGACCACAGTCCTATCGAGCATACAATCGCTTGAGCCAAACGACATGAACCGCCTCGGGTCGCGGTCGGCGTCGCGATGATGCGTGTGTTCCGTCGAGCACGACTTCGTAGTTGAGATTGCCCAGGCGTCGAAGGAACTTGTGTGGAACCAAAGTATTGCTTTAAGAGCTTATCGTTGAGGCCACGACGTCGTATCGGTGTCCCCACCCACACCCTGCCTCCTGGCTGGAAGTGAACGTCCAGACGACGAAGGTTGTAGCGGCCAGCGTCGACACGTTGCTGGTCTTGGATGAGGACTCGGGCGAACTGTCGGACGTCTGCTCGTTGCGCAACCACCTGGGTGTCGTCGCCAGCTGGCTCGTGAGGTAGTATGGCGTCAAGCATCGCAGTCACCTTGCGACCATGCACCAGCTGGAATGATGTAACACCAGTGATCTCTTGGGCCACTGTGTTGTAGGTGAACGTGACTTACTGCAGGACCTCGTCCCACATCTTGTGTTCCACGTCGACGTACATCGACACCATGTCGGCGATGGTCTTTTTTAGGCGTTCTGTCAGCCCATTAGTTTGAGGATGGTACCCTGTGGTTCGCCGGTGGTCGGTGTGGCTGGGACGAAGGATATCTTGCATCAGCTGTGCCATGAACGATGTCAAGAGATCTCTAATCAGAACTTTGGGAGCGCCGTGCCGAAGGACGACGGACTCGATTAAAATCTTGGAGACTTCCACAGCAGTCCCTGAAGGAAGAGCTTTCGTTTCGGCGTACCGTGTAAGATAATCTGTGGCGACGATTATCCAGCCGTTTCTCGACGTTGAGGGCGGAAAACGGCCAAGTGAATCCATTCCGATCTGCTGGAATGGCGTGGTCGGCGGCGCAATTGGGTGCAAGAGCCCTGCAGGCTTCGTCGGCGGTTTCTTCCTTCGTTGGCATTCGTGGCAGGACCTCGTGTAGTTATGTATTCATCGGAAGTCTGAGCCTGTAATAGTTCTCAAGAATCCTGGCAAGTGTCCTGGTATAACCAAGGTGCCCAGTCGTCGAATCGTCATGGTATCCTTAAAAGACCTCTTCGCGCTAGCAGCACCAACAACCATGCTGTTTTGCTGTCGCCGAAATTCTCTTTGAACAGCACACCTTGTCGAATGGTGAAGATTTGCAGGGCTCGTAAGATGACCCGGGGAACTGTAGTCCCTCGTCCCTCTAGATGCTCAATGAGTGCTCGCAGTTCGGGAGGACCTCGTTAAAGTGCTACCACGTCGCTGACATTCACTTTGTCGAGAAAACACTCGTCGTCATTGTCATCGGTGCAGGCGGGTTCGCTTCGGCGGGGGCCCTTGACAGAGAGTCGGCGTCACTGTGCTTCTGGCCGTACTTGTGCAGCACGGTCATGTCAAAGTCTTGCAGTCGTAAACTCCACCGATCAAGGTGTCCTGAGGGGTCCTTCAGATTCGCGAGCCAGCAGAGCGAGTGGTTATTCGTGTCCACTCGGAACGGACTTCCGTATAAATACGGGCGAAACTTCGTGATGGCCTAGACGACGGCGAGGAATTTTTTTACCGACATAGAGTAATTACCCTCCGCCTTGGACATTGTCCGGCTTGCATAGAGGATTACCCGCTTTGTTCCCTTCTGTATTTGGACCAGCACCGCGCCAAGCCCCGTATTATTTGCGTCCGTGTGCATTTCTGTTTGTGCTTGCTGGACGAAATGGCCAAGGACGAAGGTGTTTGAAGTATTCGTCTAAGCTCTTTGAACACCCGCTGGTGCTCCTCTGTCCACTGAAACTTTACGGTGTCTTTTGTAAGGTATGTCAGTGCCGCAAAAAACTTCGCAGATCTCGAACGAAGCGCCCGTAGTAGGCGCAGAGCCCTGGAAATCTCATTACGCCCTTTTTGTTCGACGGCGGGGAAGATGCGACCACGGCGCGCGTCTTCCCGGGGTCAAGGCAAACACCCTCGCTGCTCACGACGTGGCCTAGGGACTTGAGCTCACCATAAGCGAACCGAGATTTTGTTGGCTTGAGAGTTAGTCCAGCGGCCTTGATGGCTTGAAGTACGGCACGGAGTCGTCCTAAGTCCTCGTCGAAGTTGCTCGCGAACACCACAACGTCGTTGAGGTAGACGAGACAGCTCAGCCCTTTTAAGCCAGCGTGTCAATGACACACTGGAAAATCGCCGGCGCTGTACGTAGTCCCAAAGGGCATAATTTTAAATTCGTAAAGTGCGCCGGGCGTGACGAAGGCAATTTTCTCCCGGTCCCGTTTGTCAACCTTGATCTGCCAGCAACCATTCTTCAAGTCCATCGACGAAAAGTGTTTGGTGTGGCGCTGACGGTCTAGACAGTATCCTCTATGCGGGGGAGCGGATAGACGGCTTTCTTTGTCACAGCATTGAGTCGACGATAGTTCACACAAACTCTCAGAGTTCCGTCCTTCTTCTTTACGAGCACAACATGTGAAGCCCGTGGATTGCTTGATGACGGCTGGATCATATCATCGTCGAGCATTTCCTAAACCTGTTCTTGGATGACTTCCCTTTCTTTTAAAGAGACACGGTACGGTGACTGCTGGACTGGGTGCACGTCGTCGTCGGTAACAATTTGATGTTTCGCCACTGGTGTTTGGTGAACTTCCGACGACATGGCGAAACAGTCACTGTTTTCAGCGAGGAGATCAACCAGTTGCCGGCGCTTTGGAGCTGGGAGCACGCGCTTGAACCGCGTGGGCTTCTGGAACAATCGGCGTAGATGGTTGTTTGCGTAGAACATCTTACCAAGAATGAACAACAACGTTCTCGATTTCACCAGAACGCGACATTTACAGAAATAAAAAAAAAAAGAAGCGCCCGCTTTAGGCATTGAACCTCGAGCCCTTTTCGTAAAAGTCAAGGACGATAACTGTTCAGCCACGGGCGCGCTGCCTACTTGGGCAGCTGCGCGCGCGGCAATATGCTGTACCCACAAAGTGCTTACATTTTTTTTTTAGGAATATTTGTTTTATTTGCCCCAACATAAGTAACTTTCTAACTATTCGCTTTGAACATTTGTCCTGAATTGTGTTGCGAAAGGAATGTACGCATACATGGAGCCACTAAATGAGCTGCGCTTAGAGTATCGCCACACTGTTCACCGACATTGTTGTGGGTGCCGCCATTTTGGTGCTTGTGCAGAGCAGACGCAACTGCCGATCTTCATGAATAAAAGTGCGACTTCATCAGCATTAGATTCGGTGTTGGAAGCTCATGTAATATTGCTTTGCTCTGTCGCGAGCTGTTTAAACATTTGTGGAGGACGAAAAAAAGGTTCCTGCGATTTCAGATAAAGCTTCAAATAACTAGCAACTATGATTTTAAGTCACAATAATGACAAGTGTCGTTATTCTGAAGCGTAGCTTATTTAGCGGCACTAGGCATATAGTATCTAAACCAAAATGTGAACATCGCAACCAATCAATTGTTTAGGTTCTGGTCAATTGAGCAGCCGAAGTCTTTGTTATACCTCAGCCGCTCCAGAATGCTGAACCACCGAGAGATTTTCCCTAAAATTGAAAAATAGGCTGCATTAAAAATTCGGCCCACCTGAAAATTCTATCTGAACAGTAAATTAAGGTGAATTGGAACGTCCAACCGAAGTGTTAGTCACTTTTAGTGTTAGTCACTCTTGCGATTTTCGTTTGTAGCTACCCCAACTAACTATAATTTTCAAATCACCTGCTTTGACCCTTTCCGGTATGCTATTTAGTATCACGAAACTCAAAATAGTTATTGTGAAATCGGAAAGTTAAAAATGATGCCTAAACCAACATTTAAGTATTATCGCGCTTTTCAGTGCCGTGACGTCAGGGGCAGGCAGGCTTGCAGGTTGAGCGGGTGGTCTAGAAATCGACTATGCCGAGCATTTGCTTCGCGCTGCCGCGTGGGTGCTGGAGCAAGCTTCGAAAGCACTCATTTGACACCCTAAAACTGCTTGTAATCAGTTGAAAACAACGTCTACAGTCCAGAAAGAATCCCTGCCTCCCACGGAACAAGATTGTAAACTAACGTCGGCAAACAATTCATAGAAGCAATATTTGGGTCACTATTTCATCGATGTTTGTTAGTGGGTTCAACAAATTTTCAGGCAAATCGAGGACTATAAAGAAAACGCCGGCGGTTTCTTTTTTAGCTGCCCAAATTCTGTTTTAAAATATCAGCGCTTTACTCTTCCTGGCAGTCATGCTTATTATTATCTCTAAAATCAAAATAGCCATTGAGAAAAAGGCAGGTAAGGCGATGCCAAAACCAAGATTCAATATTTCTCGCCTTTTTCAGTTGGGTAACGTAACATGTAGTGAAACCTGCAGGCCAAGCAGGTATTCAAGCATAGCTTATCACGCATTTTTTAGTTCTGCTTGAGTGAGCTTCCCCAGCGTTTATTTCACGCAAGCTTCTAGTAACCCTTCAGAAACAATTCGTACAGCCCGAACCACAGCATTAGCTTGGATGGATTGGATCGGATTTTTTCGGCTTCCCCTTTGTAACGGGTAACCACAGGACTTAAATACTTTTCAGATCAAAACAAAACTGTGACGAATAAATAAAAAATCAATATCTGTGTAAAAAAGAAATATTTTGACCTGCAGCCATGTCTAGTGATGTGTTGGACCATGTTTGAGGCAAATTAGCGAACTTCACAATTTTGCTGGAGCACCCCTTTAAACACGTAGTATGTGAGCATTCCAATGATTATCCACCCGGAAAGGTAATCCCATATTATGGTTCATCAGGTGGCAGACTCAGAAGAAAAATATGAAACATTATTGAAGAAAACTCGTTTTGTTTTTCTCACGCAGCCCTGTCGTTCGAGAACAGATGTCCGAAGTGACCTTAGAAGAAGCACGGATAGTTTCGACGAAACCCTTGGTTGCCTACACCCAACTGTTCCACAACGGGCAGCCAGATCGCAACGAAACCGCGACCATTGACAAGCAAATCAAGCATCACAATACCTACACGTACACGGTGGATCGAGGAATAGACACTGGACTGACGGGAAGTTGGAGCGCCGGGATACAGGAAGTAATCGGGGCCCAAACCGAAGTCTCAGTTAAGTTCTCCACTTTATGGGGGACCACAGAAACTAAGACCACAGAAACTACGTACAGCATCAAACAGCAAGTCAACGTACCGGCGGAGTCGACTGTACTTGTTCAGATGATCATTACCGAAGAAGTGGTGGTGAGTGTCAGGAGCGCTTTTCTTCGGGAAAAAGCGGCATCATGCTTTGGGACCATATTGGTCATAAGGCGTTTACACCGGTTGATCGAACGCCATTTTATCGAAACATGTTTTATTGAAGCTATGTTTAGAGAAAGCGGAGGCTCAATTTAGGGAAATGGCGTTTATCAAAAAGGGGACGCTTCTTAAAAAAGGCTCCCCAACTTCTTTTTACGCATGTATCAACCGCGTGTTACCCCCCCCCCCCCCCCCCAACCCCCCCTCCCTCCGATCTCACCGCTTCGCGGTGACAATCTGGGGCTGCTGATTACAAAAATCTTAACCGCGGTCAATTCCGCTAACAGGAGGTTCATCGCCATTTTCTCTAAACTGAGGTTGTCTATGGTGCGATTCTATAAACTGGGGTCGCTGAAACGGCGTTCCTTAAAACGAGCTTCTTTAAACCGCATGCCTCATGTTCATAATTTGTTTGTCGAAAACGCAAGACAGTTAATTTTTTTTTAAATTTAATTTGTTGCACTCGGGGTTTAGCGCATTAAAACGGAAATAGGTTACATAAGTAAAACCTGAAAAAAGCAATACATTAAACATTAAAATAAATACAACTGTTATAACTCTTGACAAAAAAAAAAAAAAAAGAAGAGGCTAATAAGTTAGTTAGAAATGCTCGTTGTCGGGAATTTCGGCGATTTTTACTTATAAACATTACTTATGTCGTCATACCACCGTCATAAAATTGGTACTAGATGCAAACTTTATGACGGTGACCGATGTTGGCTAATACGTAAGACGGTGTTGTTAGTAGCCTTTCTTTAAGAATTCAATTGTTATGCTATATGTTCTGAAACAATCACAGACGGAATATTTTTTTTACGTGTTGATGAAAGGTTCAAAGTAAGGAACTAGATAGGCAGCCTTTGTACGGCTTCTAATCGTGAGATAAATTGTTCTTGTCCAGGATCCCAAACGAAAGCGTTATACTCTTAATCTAAAATTTAGTTATATGGTTCTAAAAGTAATAACTTTTAATGAGCATAGATCAAGATGAATATTTTTTAAACATAGTGAAACATGCGATTTGTTATTTACAATATAATCGACAAAAAGCTTCCAGAAAACGCGAGGGAATACACGTGCAGAGCGATACTTATATGGTGAAACAGCTCCCACGGGGATGTTGTTTAGTTCATAAAAAGGGCGTGTTATATTTTTTTTTAAAGCTTCACGTCATTTTGAATAATTTCCACAATTTGGCGAGGGGATGGATTATTACAAACAATGCGTAAAAGTAGCAGTAGGTAATAAATTTGCAAAAAATCATTATGCTGTATATTGTCAATGTAAAATAAATTAATCTAAATAAAAAAGTTGATCATTTTGGTGAACCCGGGGAGCGCCGAATTATTCGTGCGTACATTTTACGCCCTGAGTCATTCGTTATGCTTTGTTATGAGCAGCTCTGGGTGGTTTTGTATGCGGTGCGATTTGTACATCGTCACAATTTGACCGTTCGGCTACATTTGTTTCTGAACAAGACATTTCTCACACCAATTGCAGGACGTTCCGTGGCACGCCACGATGGAACTAAAGGGGTACTTCGCCGGATACTTCGAAAAAGGCAACCGAAAATACTGGAGCGACTTTCCTGTCGGAGTTCTACGACATCCCGACGTGCACAAGATAGCCCATGACAGAATTTTGTTGCGCGCTACGGGTACTTTCCACGGTATAAAAGCCAAAAGCAGCCATACGGTTACCCGAGAAAAACGGCATTTTAAATAAAGTGCGTAATTCCTTCATTCGAGTCTCAAGTTTATATAGTGTAGAGAGTGAGGGAGAGCAGGAGACAAGAGGGGCCGCCAGAACCACCGAGCTCTGGTTCGAATGATTAGTGGGTAGACCGAAAGCCATAGTCCGCCTTTGCCTCTCTACTTACCGCACGTGGTGATAAGCGATGGAAAGTTCTATAAGACCTTTCTATCGCTTATCGCCCGGGCGAAAAATGCTGAGTCACTGAGCTGTGAACGCTCAGTGATTCAGCATTCAGACGCATGCCCAGCGTCTGATATACCGCACAGCAGAGGAACAGCGCATGCTCAGAAGGCGTTTCACGGCCCAGAAGACAAAGATGGCGGCGCGCGGAAGGCGATTTTTGCGAAGGTCTATACACACGTAATATTCCGTCTACTGAACGCAGAACATTGGACACAACACCATGCAGACTTTAGGAGTTCCAAAAAATAAATGACTAAGAACAAATACAAAGTGGTTTAGTCGCTGATAACTTAAAATAACACAGGGCGTAGGGTGTCACGATCGCGCTCATTGACGTTCTTATCAGCAAATGCTGCAGTCTGATTGACCGAGGAGCGGTTTACCCCCTGCGTTTCTTAAAGGGACACTGACACACCCCAAATTTTTTTTTTTTTAATTTTTTGTTAGGTGATTTATCATAGTGTCGGAAGACTACCCAATTGATGTTTTGCTAAGAGTTAGGTATATATTTTTTAATAAAGTGGAGTGGACACGGCAACCACGCCGTGGCTATGCCTAACCTACTTCCTACAATCACGCAGGTACTCGGTTGCCTCTGCATCATATCGGACGTACGGACGACATCAGTGACCGGCCGATTATGGAAGATTGGCGATCACTCGCCGGTCGATCAAGGCGAGTCATCACAACCGCTACACGTGGACAAGATCTACTACGCATATGCTGGGAGCACGGTGACGTCACACAACCATCAAGATTCCAGCCAGCTGCTGCATATAAAAGCAACGCCCGTGCCTGCAGACTTCAGTGGACACGGCAACCACGCCGTGGCTATGCCTAACCTACTTCCTACAATCACGCAGGTACTCGGTTGCCTCTGCATCATATCGGACGTACGGACGACATCAGTGACCGGCCGATTATGGAAGATTGGCGATCACTCGCCGGTCGATCAAGGCGAGTCATCACAACCGCTACACGTGGACAAGACCTACTACGCATATGCTGGGAGCACGGTGACGTCACACAACCATCAAGATTCCAGCCAGCTGCTGCATATAAAAGCAACGCCCGTGCCTGCAGACTTCAGTGGACACGGCAACCACGCCGTGGCTATGCCTAACCTACTTCCTACAATCACGCAGGTTGGTGATCGTAAATATGGATTTCGTAGTGACCGTCTATGTATTTTAGTGTTGCCGTGTCCACAAATACTCCTGCAATGTGCAAGTGATTGTCTGTCAATGGCAAGTCTGTTGCTGAAGCTATCGGGAGATGTCGAGGAAAACCCCGGTCCAGTCACAGATGAGATACTGGCGCAAATACTTCAGACTCAAAATGACATCCTAAAAAGAATTACCGAAATCCAAGAAAAACAAAATTCCTCAGAAGCCAACTGCTTAATTGTGCAGAACAGGCTGTCGGAGATTGAGAAAAAACTGGAGTGCGTGGACGAAACCAGTAACAGACTTGCCAGGTTGGAAAGTGCTTTCACCGGTCGGGATGATGAAATGTATAATCTCTCTAGACAAGTCGACGACCTAGAAAATCGGGGGCGGAAAAATAACCTTATCATCAGAGGAATCCAGGAAGAACCACTGGAGAGCGAGGATACGCTGGCGAAAATTGTGGTTGATCATGTGTTCGGTGCCAAACTAAACGTAAAAATTGACTCCATTGAAAGAATACACAGAATAGGCAGAAAGTTTCCGCGCGGAAATCGACCGGTTATTGTTAAGCTTGCGGATTTTCGGGACAAAGTCACAATTCTGAAAAACTGTGTCAAACTAAAAGGTACCGCATACAGCATTAATGAAGATTTCTCCAAACGGATTAATGAAATTAGGAAAAATTTATGGAGTTCTCCTACCGAGGAAAAAAGACAAGGGTCGAAGGTAAAATTGATCTATGACAAATTAAAAATAAACGATACAATGTATGCGTGGGACGAAAATAGAAAGGCAAGGTACCCTGTGTCGCCGGGAGCATCCAGTCTCGGTGAGGCTAATAGTAACTGACTGAACCAGAGTGCACAAATGGACTTCAAGATAATAAACGTTAACGCTAGGAGTATTCTGAATAAAGCTACTATGGTTGAATGTGTTGTGCTAGAACACGAGCCTGACGTTGTCGTGATTACCGAGACATGGCTGCACAAAGATATTTTGGACTCTGAAGTTACGCCTCCAAATTACACTATAGTGCGAAAAGATAGAGCTGGGCGTGGAGGGGGAGTAGCACTTCTCATTAAAAATGATATAGTATTCACGGTACTAGAAGTTGTTGCTGAACTCGAAATGATATGGGTGAAGACTAAGCTGAATGGTCGTCCGGTCGTTATCGGAGCCTTTTACAGACCCCCTAATTCATCTATAGACACTATCTTGAAGTTGCGCAACTACGTGGACTTAAAACTGCATCGGGAAAAGAATGTCATATTCTTGGGAGACTTTAATTTACCCGGTATTGATTGGCAGGCACTTACTCCTGGACAGGTTGACGTTTCGATTTGTGACCAACTGCTGGAACTTGCATTTTGCTATGGTCTGACGCAGGTTGTAACGGACTATACAAGAGTAACCTTGACGACGTCGACGGTACTGGATCTAATCTTTATTTCTACCAACATGATTTCAAAAATGTCTAACTGTGAAACATTCGAAGGTTTATCTGACCACAGGATGGTAATGCTGACTTTGAACATGAGAGCCGACGTTCATGCTAATCAGTCGCGAAAAATGTTTCTCAATTTTGAAGCCGCGGATGACGTGAGCATTTTGGATTGTTTGGAAGGTTCGTTTGATGATTTTAAGATGCTTCATCGGTCACGTGCTGGCACTCAGGCGCTGTGGAATTACTTCTCGGATGTGACTGCACTTTGTATTCGGCAGTTTATTCCCAAGTATGCCAAAAATACTACAAAGAAAAACCCTTGGATTACAAGGGAGGTCGTGCATGCCAAGAGAAGACTAGGCCGTGCCAGAAAGGCATACTCGCGGAACGCGGATGCTAGTAAAAAGATAAATATCCAGAACATGAGCAGGAACTTAAAACAGCTTATAGGGTCTTTAAAGGCGAATTTTCATAACGTCACGTTAAAAACCTTCCTTAGGGAGGCACCGGGTAAATTCTGGCGCTATGTAAATCCTCTGGCAAACGCCAAAAAAGATTGCAGGTGTGAAAATGATCTCAGGCGAGCTGATGACTTCAACTCATTTTTTTCGTCGGTGTTCACTCTGGATAACGGAGTTGTGCCGAGGAATGATGACATAGCTAATTATCCCCCGATGAACAATATTGAAGTAAATGAACAAGGAGTCCTAAACCTACTACTTAATATAGACATAAAGAAGAGTCCCGGGCCTGACGGAATCCCCAATGCATTTTTAAGAAGGTACTGTGAATGGGTTGCCAAATATTTAACCATTATTTTTCAATCATCACTCTCGGAGGGTTCGTTACCAACTGCATGGAAATGTGCTAAAATCATTCCTATACACAAAAGTGGTACTACTTCTGATGTAAGAAATTATCGCCCCATATCTCTTACCAGCACATGCTCCAAACTGCTCGAACATATCGTATCAAAACATCTTCTCAGTTATCTAGATAGCAATGATTTCTTTTATCATTCGCAGCACGGGTTCAGAAAGGGCCTTTCTACTACAACCCAGCTGATCGAAACCGTTCACGAGCTAGCCCAAACAATTAATCATCGCGGTCAAACTGATATAGTATTCTTAGACTTCGCCAAGGCTTTTGATAAAGTGTCTCATCAGAAGTTATTACTAAAACTGAACAATTTGTTTAAAAACACAAGCATAACACAATGGTTTCATTCTTATCTATCTTCTCGAGTGCAGTTTGTTGAAACCGGTGGTCGTACATCAAGTTTTGCTCCAGTGCTTTCTGGGGTGCCTCAAGGAAGTGTTTTGGGTCCGCTGTTATTTCTAATCTTTATAAATGACCTCCACAATGTAATTAACGTGCCAATACGATTGTTCGCAGATGACTGCGTGATATATAATGAAATAAGAACACCCGATGATCAGGCCGAATTAAATAGAAATCTACAAAATATTAACAAATGGTGTCAAGATTGGCAAATGGTTTTAAATCCAGGAAAATCAGTCTTTATGACAGTTACGAGGAAAAAACAATTTCTGAGGTACGACTACTGTATCAACGAGCATGAACTCGCAAGGGTAACTGAGCACAAGTACTTAGGCTTAACATTCACTTCAGATTTACGTTGGAATGCTCATATAGACATAGTGTCTGCAAAAGCCAATAGATCGCTATGGTACCTAAGAAGAAACTTGTCGTATGCCTCACCGGAAGTAAAAAACCTCGCTTATAAGACCCTTGTCAGGCCAGTCATAGAGTACGCCAAAATAGCATGGGATCCACATACTGTCACTAACGCATTTAAATTAGAAAAAGTCCAGCGCTTAGCTGCTAGGTTCATTTATAACAAATACCGGCGCGATCATTCTCCTACTGAGCTCTGTCAAATGGCTAACCTTCCAACCCTCGAGTCTAGGACGCATTTTGAGAGATTAAAATTTATTTTCTTAATTATTAATGAATGTGTAAAGATAAACAAAGATAATTATTTCCAAGTTCTTCAAGACGAAAAATCAAGGCACCGGCATAGTCTGTACATAAGAGAATATTCTGTGAAAAACGATTGCTTTAAATTTAGTTTTTTCCCAAGAGCCGTCAGGGAATGGAATAAACTGTCGAATGAAACGGTGACATCATCATCCATTACGACCTTCCTTCAC